CGGACTTCATTTTTCAGGCTTATTCAAGCAGTTACTCTTCTAATCCTTCGCAAACAAAATTAACATTTGGATCGTATCCACAATCCGGATACAGTACCCAGATCTACGGCGGTGCAAACGACTATGGACCACAAACCTATGTTATTCAGCCTAATGACTACCAGAATACAAACACAAATTCTTACGGTACTCAAACTTTCGGCAGCTACCCTACCATTTCGACAGGATACGATAGTCAAGGGTACGGTAACCAGGGTTCTTACACCTACAATAGCTTCCCGAACACCAACACCTTCAGTAGCTATGTAGCACAGCCCGCTACTTACAATTACGGCAATTACGGTAGTATGCCAACCTACAGTAACAATAACTATGGCACCTACGGTACTCAAACCTACGGTATCCCGGATCCAATCACAACCGGTGGCACAACCAATAGCAACGTTGGCAGTTGCCCTTACTGTTTCGGCAATAAGGGCGGATACAAGGCGAAGAGAGAAACTGATACGAAAAAATTTGAAGCAAAGAGGAAATTCGACGCGAAAAATTCGGAAGCAAAGAGGGAATCGGAAGCGAAGAAACCAAATGAAACCAAGAAGAACTGAGCGGCTGACAGAGCAGTCATTCTCTGATGTATATAATTTATTTATTATTTATTGATCATGCTTGATGATGAAATAATAAATAAAACTTTTACCCTTTCATGCGCTTCACGCATTCATATTACAGAATTCGAAGTTGAGACGAACATCAAGCATAGCTGCTTCTGTAGTTGTCTTTCTTCCTTGCCTTCTTCACGACAGATTTTTTCATAAAAGCTGATCACTTTAGGCGATAGCGGTGGTCAATCATGTTTGAAGTAATTTAGGGGACATTTTTAGCCCTTTCCGCATGCGTAGAACTAGTGTCCTTTTTGGTGTTAGATATCCAGACTCCAAACAATGTGGTCCCTCATCCAAGAGCACTTGACGAGAAGTTTACGAACGGCTAGACGGCGATTTTTTTGGTAACAATTCCAAACAAAGTGCTTTTGCTTACGAGCTGTTTAGTACTCGCTCAGTCTAACGGCTTTCGGAGAGCTCAACCGAAACGTACGCGAATTTGTTGTTCGCATCTTCAGACACGTCTTCTTGACTCTCAGCATTTGATTTTGTGCATGCTTGGAGATATTGAAATTGAGAGACACAGTTGGATAGCGCTCAAGTAACCAAAAAACCGCAAGATGGAGGTATTGCCATAAACAGCTAGCTCTTCAAACACTGTTCAAACACAAATGTTCAAACATGTGGATTTTGATACGAGATCTTCTATTACCATATAAAGGGCATTATTATCACTGACTATTATAGTTACTCTTAGCGCGGTGCTGGTACTGGTCGTCCGATTTTCATTTCCGATCTAGCAAGGCTTAGATCAGGTTCAACGTCTAATATGCTGCTCCGTCATATAGCTAAACTAAATCTATTGCCGAACAGGG